CGGGGGGGGTGGCGGACGTGGCTGGTCTGCTTTGGCATCGTCCGGTGGGGGGGCGGCGCGGTTCGCTCCGCTCTGGCTTTGTGCTGCCCCTCGGGCTGCTGGGGGGGGTGGTTGCGCCGGCTGCGGTCTGCTCCTCTTGCGGTTTTGCGCCGGGCGGCTTTTCTGCTCACGGGCTGATTCTGTGCGCGGTGTGTTTCGTTGCGCGCTGTTGGCATCGGTCTTGGTGGGGTGGGGCTGCGCTTTTGGCCGGGGGGGCGTTTTGGGGGGGGTCCCGCGGCGCTCGTGGCCGGTTCGCGGCGGATGCGCATGGGCCCCGGCCGGGGGCGGGGCCGTCTTAGTGTTTTCCTGGGTGGTGCGGTCGCGGTGGGTGTTGCGGCCGGTCGCCGGGGCTTGGTGCGGGGGGGCGGGGCGTGTTTCGGTGCTCTGTGGGGCTGGGGCGTTTCGGTCGGCGCCGTGGGGGGGCTGGTGTTCGGCGCCCGGCCCTACTTCGGGGTGGCCGGCTGCCGGCGGGGCCCGCGGACTCGTCCCCGCGGCTCCCCGGGGCGCCGGCATGGCGGTGGCTGGGGGGCTTCCTCGTGGCTGTCTCTCCTCCTGCCTTGGTGGGGTCTGATTTCCGGGGCTGGCCCCGCCTTGGTGCCTTCGCTTCTGGGGTCCCCTTGGGCGCCTGGGGCTTTGGGTCTCCCGGCGCTGGACTCAGTGCTCTGGGGGGTGTGCCTCTCCGGCTCTCCACAACCACTATTGAGCATTTTTTTCTATGGTTAAAACTTTACATGCACAAGTTCACCCTCACAAACAACTACAGGTGCTAGGCTTCAGGTACTTAGAGATTCACTTCCAAACAGAAACCCCACATTCATATCTTCAGGTAACACAGAGTACATGTCAGACTTAATAATATTACTTTAGTGATAGTTTCAAGGTGTTTGCTTTATTGTATATCTCGTACCATGTTTTTTGGTTGTGCTGTTCTTTTTTCTTTTCTTTTTTTTTTTTTTTTTTTTTCTCCATCTCATTACAGGTGTTGAAGCAGACTGAAAATGTTTTGTCATTGTCTCCTTCCTATCTCCTCTTTCTTTCATCTTTTGTCCTGTTTTTTTCTTTTTCCTTCTTCTTCTTCTGTTTTTCTGCTCTACTTACATTGCAGTGTCCATATGAACTGTAAAACTCCCTGCATAATTATAATAAAGCAATTTATATACATGAAACAAGTGGAGCGGTATGGCAATTGCGATACCGCTACACTTGTGAAAGTAAAATCTGTTGGGCTCCTTTTGGCATCAAGACAATTATTCTTATTGCCACCTTGCCAGACAGGACACTGTAAAAAAAAAAAAAAAAAAAAAAAAAAAAAAAAAATGCAACTTCTTTACACATAAATCATAAACAGAACCTCATCTTATTGGTGTTTTTTCTTGTAAACGGAAAAAATCAAGTCTTACATCTGCTAAAAAATCAAACCTCACCTATTAATTACAGTCCTAAACATGTTATCTATGGCATTTGTTTACATTTGTTTTTACTTTAATACCAATTAAATGTTAAAAATAAAGTTTGCAATCTACTTAAGACATATAGCCCATCGCTTCCCGGCTGCACTTCTGAAAGTGTCCACTCAGAGTTGCATCCCCACAACATGATGCTGCCACTACTATGCTTTCTTTTTTTTAACCTTCCCCAGGGAGATCAGGCGGTTAAAATGGTCTTAATAAGAATCCCTATAAATTTAAAGTGTGACAAAACTGCTCAAAAAAATGGCATTATCCGAACATGTTGGTGCTAAGCATTCTAATTCTAATAATATAGAAGAACAATATATAAATCAAACAAGGTAATTCATAGTTTTCTGATGAAGGGGAAGAACCCGCCTTCATGTGGACTTTGTACTTTACGACTTTGATTACATTTTTATGTGTGCAGTCATGGCCAAAGGTGATACCTGTTGCACGGTAGAATGACTGGACGCATCAAAAAGGCTTCAAAGGGATTTAGCTTAAATAATCATTCTTCTGATTGTTATGTACAAATGCACAAGTTCTATACATAACAAGAAAAATCTATATAGTTCAAAAGTTATTCTGAATATATATTTATATATATATTATAATTTCCTAAACATGTCTTTAGTTCTTAATCACTCACTGATTATCTGGTTTGGTCAAATAAAACAAGGTGTGAATTGGTTTGAAATTCACACATTATCGATTTAAAACCTAGATTTAGGTTTTAATAATCTGAAATTTCAGCCCTGCTGTTATGTTTATGGTTTTTGTTTTTTCTCTCTCATTTGACAAGAATAGCTTCCTTCATTTCTCTTTCAAAGCATTTGTTTTGTTTGACCAAATTCTGAACATTTTGGGCACCTGGATCTAAAGGAGCTTGGGTGTCCCTTAGGTCAGCTCCCATGTCGAGTAATGCATCTGTGGAAGGTAAGTCTCTCTTTAGAAATACAGACATTCAGACTGCAGTGAACCGAACATACACTCAAATATTCCCTGAAACTTTATCTCTTCTACTAGATGTGGTCTCCATGATGCTGTTCACTCACAAGAGTAACTAAGGAATGATCACAAACAACTTTATTTATAATGATAATAGATTAGACATAGAGTAACTGTATTTGCAAACAAGGTGACTTGGCAACTGATTGCAATTAATTTTAATCAGGTGTACAGAAGTAGAAGGATGAAAACAATTGGACGGAATATTTGTATTATGCTTCAGAGATGAGGGGACTGGAGTCAATGAGTCTGACTCAAGACGTCACATTTGGGACTTATGACTTGCTTGATTAAAATTTACAAGTCTTGACTTGACTTTAACTAACCCTTCCTGACCTGTGAATTGACTTGACCTGACTCATCTAACTTGCCAATTCACTGCAATCGCGTTCATTCTATTATCATTATTAGAAAATAAGTTATTAGATAATCATTGCTTCACTTTGCATGAGTGCTCCTGACCTGGAGGATATCAGCAAACCTGTCAACCTATCTTTCATGCAAAGTACAGAGAGAATTACCTGCATCAGCCTCTCAATTAGATTTTTTTTTTAAACCAAACAATTATTTTGCATCCATGAGCTTAAATACCTGAACTAATTAACGTGCCTCCTGAATATGCATGCAATGAGTAATCAGAATCAGGAAAGTAAGAATCTACACATAACATGAATTTTGTGAGTGTGTGTCTGTGTGTGTGTTTTTAGGGTCTAATATGCATTATCCAAATAGAAACTGTCAACAAAATAAAAAAAATTAATATAAACATCAATACGCAGTATTTTTTAGGTTTAAAAAAGATTAGCACAGCTGCCTGTGCTGATGAGAACCTATCAAATGTTGACAGTCGTGAGATATTTTAAATATACAAGTATAAGAAGAGCAAAATGAAGTCCAAGCTGAGCGTAACTCATAGAGTGGTGGATGCGGGTGGATGAGGAATTCAGTGAGTGTGTGTTTAGCCATGACGGTATCACCATGAGACCCCATCCTTCACAACTCAGTGCAAAGGTTTTAACCAATTAGATTTTTGCAAGTGTAACGACAATTTGTAAATGGCTCCCAAAAAGATATTCTGATGCGCTCTTGGGCACATATTGTTCTCTCTCCCCTCTCTCTTTTCTTTCCAACTCACTCTTATTGAATTAAGTGCTTTCCAACTGTTCATATGTTGTTTTTTTTCATATACACTATGTGATTGTTGCCACTGATACCTGACCATAAAATGAGAAATTTTGTATTTCAATTTGTATGGACATTCAGATCTAGTGCCTCACTCCCTTGTTGAGCACATTCTAACTTATACTGTGTTACTTTTCAACATACAGTCAATGGCATAACGACACAACAATAGAGCCGTAAGCAACATTATCTGGGTGGGCCCCATATGAAGTACAACACCCCATCCCCACGGCGCAGCCGCTGCAGTAGATCCGAAATGTGCGCCCCATACATACACACTTCATCATTTCATCCTTCTTCACCTTCACTAGACATGGATATACTTTCGTATATTCTAGTGTAAAATGAGTCTTAGTTCTACAGTTTTTCCGTTCTTCGAGCAGCTCTTCTTTTGTTTTTCTTTTCTGGAATCCACTTAAATACCTCTTTTTGGTATCCATTGTCGCTAACACATTGTACCTAACGGTTATGGTTTTAATCTACGCTCTGGATTATCCATAATTCCAAGTTTTATTGTAAAAAATAAAATACTTAAATACACCATTCTTTTCAGATCTTTATTGCGGTTTGAAACATTTTATATAAGTGTATTTTTGACCAACTGTTGAATGAACTATACACAGTTATTAACATAGTAATTAAAAGTACCACTGTAGTTCAGGTGGGTTCAAGAGTAATTTTTCCACACCATTACATCTGCAAAGAGACGTCCTAGTCCACAATTGCGTAGTGGGCCAATCAGGTGTCAGTGACGGGGCCCCTAAGCAAATGCAGTCTCTGCTTACCGATAGTTAAGCCATTGCATACATTAATGTGATTGTTAAATCTATTTTTACAAACAAAAAGCTGTTTGGTTTTAAACTTCATTCATGTTGATCTAATTCACTGCCTTTTCAGCTTGAATTAACAAAAAATATTGACTGAAAACAGACATTAGGGGGGGAAAATGACTTGTTTGACCTATTTCCGGGCTTGACCTGTTTGATCCTCCTCCCAGATGACTGAGACTTGAGTGCTGATACTTGGAACTTTGCATGTATGGGACTCCATCCCATCCCTGTTATGCTTTCTTTTAAAAGTAGAAAAAAAAGGTAAAAACAATGTGTCTAACCTTCCTCTGTCTTTATTGGCTACAATACATTGGTCTATCACATCATAACCAATTAAAAACATTGGAGTTTGTGTTTGCAGCATCAGGGCACTCAGTGTTTACAAGTTGTGCTGTGAAGCCCTCTATCGGTTGCGTAGGGTATTGCAGCAGCAGTGCGCCTCCTCCTCCTCCTCCTAAAGCAGGAGCTGCATTCCACTCCTCTCCGCTCCATTCACACGCAGGGGAGCAGTCGGACAGAGAGCACCGCCGCCACTCCGTGTGACCAGCGTGGAAATGTGCCCAAGTTGTGGAATTTAAAACCATGGCGGGGATATCAACCCTCAGGATCACTTAGACGCGTAAGTACCGGCGAGAGAGGTTTTTGGGGAGGTGGAAGGAATGGAACAAGCTCGGCTTTTAGGCTGAAATGTTTAGCTTTTATTTTTGCTTTTACAGTTTGCTGGAGCTCCGTTTGGTCGCCGTGTTTTATCTTGAGGAGGGGGGGTTTGCTGGTTGAAGGAGTTGGACGCGTGTTTGTTCTGTTGGAGCTTTGCGCGCAGCGTTTGGGGTTGGATCCACACTGGAAACTAGTTGTTTAGGCGTCTTAGTTTATCTGAACGTTTTCAATGACCTCGGGTTAAACACCTGGCGCTGAAACTACTCTCTGCTGGTGTGTTTTTTCCCTCCTTTGCAGCCTCTCTTTGGCGCAGTGGAGGCTAAGTTTATGGCTGGCTTTGGTTCCTATGAGATTTTTTAAATTATTTTAACCTGTTAGAAAAGAAATGCACCTTAAGGATCGAGGTTTTTAGGTGCGTCTTTCCTTTCCCTCAGAGGAAGGAGGAGGAATGCCACCACTATCATCCATAATTACAGGTATTCACACCCTGACGCACAATTTCCTCTGGTTATTCTTCTCCTTTACTATTTATTTTATGCATCCTAAGCACTTATTTATTTCTTAAAAGGACCTTAGGGGGGGAGTTGTGATGGATTTCTCAAGGGGAAAAAATCGATCCCTCTTATTAGCTTTGAAATAATTAGAAATTGTGTTGGTGCGCAGTGAAAAGAGCGTTAATCTGCTAACGAATGGGAGGCAATTTGCGGGCTTTGTTATTCGACAGCAATTTAATCCCCTCCGTTTGAGAGCGGAGCAGGGATGGAGAGGAGGCGATGGCTTTCTGTGGGTGTGTTTGAGTGCGCATTGCTTGTCAGCTAGTGAAAATGCTCTCATTGCTCTATTGGATTCTCCTCATTTATTTCTACGGGTGTGCGCGCGCGTGTTTTATAATCAAATCCTTGTTAACCAAATTAGTCGTCCCACCCCGACCCCCCCATCTGCATGCTGTGAATTCATTTGGATCCATGGATTGAATTAGATTAGGAAATGCTTCACTACAAATGGAGTTTTTATTTTATGGAAGATGGGAGGAGGTCTGGAGCTTACCTGCAGCTGTCCTTAAAAATGAATGCTGACGTCCTACAGTAAATTAGGTCAGAACAGGAGGATGGTTTTCTTCCTCTGTGGCCCCAGTTTGTTTCCTTTCAGCACAGGTCCATAGGTCATTATTGGTACAAGCAATTAAAGTATTAATTGCTTGTACACTGATTTTCCACCAATATATTGTTATAAGATAAAGCTAAAGGAAGCGCTGAAATAACCAGTTTTTCTTTTTCATAACACTGCCTAGAACATGGAGGGGAAACGCTACCCCTCCCCCACTTGTTGCTGCATTACCTATTAGTTGTTTTTATTAAACACAGCAGTTTCCTGTCTTACCTGGATACGGGAATATTTCTGATTACCGTAGATGTATTCCACTGCAATGAGTGTTTGAGTTATATGACCCCCCTCCACTTGTTTCTGGTCATCCTTTACAACGAAAAAAGTCGTAAATGTAGATGTCATTCCCTTAATTTTCCTGTTGCTTTGAATCAATTTGACTGCATGATCTGGTGAACTGTAAAGTGCTTTGAGATGACGTGTTGTGAATTGGTGCTATGTAAATAAACTGAATTGAATTGTTGCCTATTTTATGCTAAAACCAAAAACAAAAGCAGAAATCTGCTTTAATGTTTTATTATGTTTTTTAAGTATCTCTTAAATTTATCAGCCTAGTCAGAAGAAACATTACAATCGCAGACATTAGTTTAGATGAGCAGCATCAGGTCTTGCTGACAGCTCAGAGAAAAAGGACGTGCTTTTTAGGTATGAATGTTTTGGGATTTGAATTGGGGAGCAAGTATTTAAGATGTCGCTTCCAACTTGAAGTAATGTTTGGATATCATCGTCCTCACAAGAGGGGTGTGCTGAGCTTGTTTTGCCTAAAACAGCAGCTTTTCATATGAATGTTGGACCGCTGGCTAAGAGAGGGAGGTTTTGTAAAGTTGGGTTTAGGGCTGCAACTTATTATTATTTTGCTAATTGATAAATCTGTGGATTATTTAAAAATTTGTTTTTACTAGTAAGCGGACATTAAAAGGTTTTCTAAAGGTTTTCCTAAGATATTATATAAAATTAAACAAAGTGAAGGAAAAACTACACCACATTAGGAGTCATTAATAGAAAATATTGTCCTTTTTTAATCCTGAATACAACTTTGGTATAATTCCTGCTCTGAGTGGGATGGTCTTTTAACTATTGACATGTTTTAGAGTCTGTATACTCCAGTTTTTTAATTTATTTATTTATTTCAGGAATTAAATATTTCAGCCCTAGTCGAGTAGCAGCCCTTAGTATTTATTTTAAAGCTTTGAACTACTGTTACAGGTTATGAGGACATGATGTCACCATGTTTTCTATTAAACGTCACTTTAAAACAGATGTTTGCTGTTTAAATAAGAGTTATTTGGAGTTGATATTCTAAACTGTCTGTAGCGCCTGATGTATGTGATCAGTGCTGCTAGATTTAGCTCAGACAGAGTCTAGATTCTTGATACATTACCTGTGAGGTATTGATCAGCAGTATTCCAATTAAGTGGATTATTTGTGAATTGTAAATTATAGTAATAATTTCCAACTTATTTTAGTAAATTATTCATTATTAGCTCGAGTTGAAATACTCTAACACATGCCATTAGCTGAAGAGCAACCCACTTAGAGCTGTATTTATGGTAAAATTGTTAGAACTATGTAAACCTTTTGCATTCAAGAAGAAAAAAACTTAAATTTGTTCTATCCAGAACTCCTGAGGTGCCGTAGTAAGTGCCATCCGGTTAAAATTATGTCAAAAATCTTCTAAATAGAACATTTTGACATCAAATGACAGATTATCCGATTAGGAAAAATTATCATTCATTGCAGCCCTAGTATCCATAAGGTTGCCATAGCCTTTCCAAAGCCAACATGCTTCATAGTTTGAGTTTTGTAATTCAAATAGTTAAAAATACCATATTTGCAGTAATCTGTTCAGCCTTCCTGTTAGCTGCTAAAAATGCGACTCTCTCTCATTGTCTCAATAGATTGCAGAAATTTCTTCATTTTGCTTCCTTTGTCTTATGGTAAACACTTATTGCTCCTGAAATAAGCCAACTTTGAGTCTTCTTCAACAATAAACCATACACCTGGGTCACTCATTTGATAAATGGAAGAACATCCTTTTAGTTTACTAGCATGAAACGAAGTAGGCTATAAGCAGTAACCTGTTGTTCTATTACTTGGTTCTATTCTATTCTGGGTAAAGAATGTTAGAGTAATTGTCAGGTGGTAATAAGATAATATGTGAACATGTTCAGGCTTGTCCACAGGATCCAACAATCACACGCTCTCCCAAACACTCTTGGAGGTTACAGTGTCGATCGCTCAAAGATTGGACAGGAGGATTTAGAAAAATTCTTCCAGTGTAAAGTGAACATTTTCTTTGAGAAATTCTTTTGTTTTTAATGAAGTGTCACCTTTGTTTGGCATTTTCCCCCCGAAAAAGCTGTCAACCCAGCCAGAAAATTACAAGCAATTTGCTTCAATCATCCTTAATTATGATACAGATCGGCCCCACAAAGGGCCGTTGCTGTCAGGAGTTTCTTCAGAGGCTGCGCTATCCGGTCTGCCTGGCTGCAGTGCTGTGAAGAGTGCTCCGGTGATGTCCAAACTTTGGAATTCGAGCTGACGTGTGCTTTGCACCCCTCTGGCCCTGCCTTTGTGTGGCTTCTCCCTGCGTGGCATTCCTATGAACCGCTCAGTCGGCAGGTCTGATTAGATTGTCCGCCGATGACAAGAGCACCGAGGGTTTTGTTGGGGTGAAAACTGAATTACACACGGCACACACTCAAACTGGTCATTTATTTTTTGTAGCACTGCTGCTTGTGTATTTATTGATAAGGGATTTTGGAGCATGAGAGTTTAAATAGAAATTTCTTGAGACAGAAAGCAGATTTTCTCCTCATTGCATCCACTTTGTGGACTCTTTGCAGTCTGTTTGTGTTTGTTCCCAGTCTTTGAAATCCAGCTCATTTTCCAGTTTCCTTACTGTCTGACATTTTGAACAGCCCTCATCTTTAGGCATTTCCTTTTCTCGCCTTCCCTCTCTGCTCCTCTGCTTCAGCTTCCTGCCTATATTATTTTGCCTCCCTCACCCTCTGCTGCTGTCAGTTTGGTCTACCTCTCTCTCTTTCAGTTTACTCTCCTCCAGCTTTCATATTTAATTTTTCCAGTCTGTCTCTCGAAATGCATCATGGTTCTTCTCATCCTCCTTCCAAGGATGAATCCCTGCACATGCCAGGGTTATACCTTCCTGCCTTTCATTTGCTCTCCTTGGCAGCTTGAGGTTCCTCCTTTTTATGTTCTGTTTCTTTCTGTGTACGACCGGTTCTCCAGGATGTTCCTGCCGGGATAATTGGTCTTCATCATTTGCCAGCGCCTGTCCCGTCCCCGCTTTGCAGATCGGTACTCATTGTGGAAGCATTTATCACTCTGAAAGAGGATCTCCTCTCTAACAGACATAGTGGTTGTGTCACAGACGGCTTGGTATGCTCTATTCCTTAGTCTCTCCGCCATGAGCGAGCACTTTCTTGGCTTGCTGTTGCTGTAATGTAATATCGGTTTTCATATAATAGCCAGTGAGGATGGCTTGTTTTTATTACATAAGTTTTCATTTGTGTCAGTCATCCTGAAGAGGTTAGAGCTAGAGTGGCATGTTGCTACTTCTCCTCTTTTCATCTGTATGCATTTATTTTTCTATTATCTCTTCAAGACCTGTTAAGATATCTAAGAAAATATTGAAAAGTGTAGAATATAGATGGATAATCTGTTTACCCTGCTAAATGAACCATCTTTATTATTTAAAATTTGACCTCTGATGATAAATCTGCAATAAATTGATAGATATCTTCATTGGTCCTTATATAAAACATTGAAATTGGTTTT